ATAAAATATTATCCAATTAAATTTATAATATGAATTAACCAATAAAATAAGAACTAAATATTCATATCATAACAATATCATTATCTTTTTGATATTTAAATTGTAATACCTAAATAATAGTTATATTTTTATATACTTTTTGTTTTATTTTCTTTTATTATTGTACTAAATTCATTTATTTTTGTATTTTTCATTATAAAACTTATATTTTTATTATTGATTTATCTTATTTATATCTCTATTATACTTATTTTTATCTTTTTATTTCATTATTTTTAACCAATCATTTATATATTTATTTTATTTTATTTTTTACTCTTGTTATAATTACTGTAAAGCGCTCTGTATAGTATCCCTCTTTGTATAAAATTTAAATCTCAATTTAACCTCAAGATTGTTAAACCAATAACTAAATTTCTTAAAAAATCGCATAGTGAAATCTAATTTAATTATTTATATAAAAAATAATTGAATTTACTAAAAAAAAATTGAACCAAATTGTAGTTCAAATTTTTACAAGGGGAGATATTATAAAGAGCACTTTACGGTACTTAAAAATAATTATAAGATTAATTTAGAAGAAGTATAACACCAAGAAATAATAAGTGTAATACAAATTTAATCTAAGTAATACAATTTAAATTAGAGTAATATTAGTATTACATTAATTAATGTTAAATAAAAATTAATTTAAAATAGAATAAATTTAGACACAATAATATTATGATGATAAAATAAATTAATAAATGATATAATATTAAAAAAATTAATTGGTTTTCTAATAAATTATATATAAATTAAATAATTTAAATAAATGAAAATATAAATGATTATTAAAATTATATTATAATATTTTACATATGATTTAAAATATCAAATGATAACAATATATATAAAAATAATTTATGCAAAATTTTGATAATATTCATTAGCCTAAGAAATTGGAATTTCTATGCAGTTATATTGATATTAATAAAGCAAATCAATTCAGTGACTAAAATATATCAAGATTCTTTTAGTATTATATTTAATTATTTTAATTTTCAAAATTTATCGTAATTATTTCAGCAAAGATCAAATGATCTTATGATATATAGAACTATTTAAATAGAAATGACACAATTTTATTAATTAACAAAATATATTAAATTGGGTTATTTCTAAATAGCTCCATATAGCATCATATAATTTTTAAGAATGATATAATTGAATTTTTGTATTACAAGTAATTTATTCGATTTGTGCTAGCTCACATGTCAAATACCAAAAAGAGGAAAATTTCTTACAAACATTCATATTTGTCATTGCATACTAGCTAAAATAGAAAATATAATTTTTACTTGTGTTATTATTGATTTAATAATTATTGAAGCAAAAAATTCATAAAATAACTATACATTATGATTTCTTTATTTGGAGCTGGTATATTTAGTTACCGCTTTTGTGCCTTCAGAAATGGCATGTTTCGCCAATTCATCAGGAAGGATAAGACGAACAGCTGTTTGGATTTCTCTGGTCGAAATTGTAGATTTTTTGTTAGACAGCGAGCTTAGAAGCTTCAGTCGCAATACGTTCAAAGACATCATTCACGAAGGAGTTCATGATCGATATTGCCTTATTAGAAATTCCAGTATCTGTGTGAACTTGTTCAAGTACTTTGTAGAGGTAACTCGAATAGGTCTCTTTTCTAGCCTTCTCCTTTTGCCTTTTTTGTTTACTTGTTTCTGTTTTTTCATTTTAACTGAGGCTTTTGAAGTTGTTGCCTTGATGGCTAAAGATACAGGTTTTTTTCAGCCTTTGGTGGCATTTTTTAGTTTCGTGTTAATGTTATGATCGAAAAAGAAAGATTATTGTTGCTTTTTCTATATTTATAATAAAAATCATTATCTGTATCTGAAATGCATTAATCAATCACTTGATTTTATCAATTTGTTGATTATTCTCTTTCAGATAAATAATATTTAAAATCTAAATTATTGAATTTAAGACTAATTATGCAACTTCTTTCAGGACAAAATTGTAGAAATAATTCTAATAGAATTTTAAAAAGGGTGAATAAAGTACAATGTTTATTCATCATAAAATCAAATTATAAATCTGTTGAAATGAGTAAGTTATATATTATCGCGATTATGGAACGTGCACGTTTAAAGATTATGTTTAAATATTAAAACTTCTTGAAACTGGACCAGAGTGTGCATTTAGCGGCTTATAGAGAGGATTGCGATTTATATGCCTTAAAACTTTAAATTCTGCATATTCTAATGGTCTTTAATACTTAGATTGGTTATTAATAAATAGTTGCCAAATATTTGACTTAGCTAAATTACTTAATTTATGAATCTCTGTTTATTTCAGCATCAAATATTGAATTCAATAAGCATTATTATATATTGAATATCTAAATAAAAATACTTATTCATCAAAATTATTTAAATTTACCGTAAAGTCCCGTGAATAAGCAATCCCTGTGAATAAGCAACCCCCTCTCTTTAGGTTCAAAGAATGCTAAAATAGAAAAAATTATTATATTAATTCATCTAATTCTAAGCTTCAGCAGAAATGTAACTACTTCGTCACATTCATTGTGATCGGAATTACCCGCGTCAATGAAATGGCTAAACTGGATGATCAATAACTTAACAGTGAATAATTTAATCTTTGGGCCAATAGGCATTAAGTGTTCAGAAAGTTCCGTGAATAAGCAATCCCTTAAAAAACTGATCTCAAATTGATGACGTAGGGGATTGCTTATTCACGGAAATTTACGGTATGTGATAAATTTATTCGATAATAATTATATATCTTAGTAGTATTTTGAGATATAGTATGATTATATAATATATTAATCAATCGTTTTATGACGCAAAAAAATATTTATTTATTTATTGGATGAATCTTTTAATATAGCAAATGAGTAGAATTCAAGAATAAGTATTATTTATTATTAATATCTATAACAAACTTATTTAACATGTTTTGCTATCTAATTTCTATAGAACAAAATCGTACCTTTAAAACTTCTGGTTCAGAAATATATTAGTTAAAACAACTTGTTTATTAAATTTAATTTATGCTAAACATATTTTTATATTTTTTCTATCTGAAAGAATATATAAAGTAAATAAATAATAAGGAATAATTTAAATGGTGCGCCCATGCACCCGATTATATTAATTAACGTTAAATTATTTAAGCTCAGGGTCAGGATTAGGTTTAGAGTCAAGATTACCGTTACCTCACCGACATTTTAATCTAATCATTTTGTGTCCATTACTTTGAAGCTACTTTTGATGCTTAGAAAATGATAATATGTGTAAGATAAACTCAAAATGGTCTTCACTTTCAATAATCAGAGATGTATTTGTCTTTAGAACTTAAAAAAAATGAACTGATAAGACACCATATATCAGTGTGGTTGCAGTTGTTTTTATAATGAATTTTTGTCTATTAATTTGCCGGACATTTGATAATAAAACGAAAAGCTTATAATTATTAATGCAAAATTGTAAGCTACCATA